ACAGACGCCGCACTTCTTGCTGTCGGGTCGCTTGGACTCGGAGCCCGACGCCTCGTCCTGCGGAGAGGCGCTGGCGTCGGCCCCGGGCGATCCCCCCCCGCCCTCCATCACGCCCGCCGCCCCCACCGGCCACCCCAGCCAGTACGGGCTCTCCTCGCTCACATACCTGCGGGGGACACGTCAGCCGTCAGCGGATTCTGTGAGGGCGCTCGCAAGCCAGATCTCGAACCTCCCTTGCAAGATCTAATGCTAGCAAACTACAGATTCACAAAAAAAGATTCTGAAAGAGACACGATAATCCATTAGCAACCATGTCTTGGGGGCAAAAAAGGTATCACACTATTTACAAATCGCGGCAAAAAAGGTATCACACTATTTACAAATCGCGAGAAAAGCGAATTCTCTTTAAAGATGAGACTGATAGTAAATCCTCTACGGCAGGTGACGCAACGCTCGGGTCCTCATTTAAAAGCGGAGACGCTCTCGGCGATGACGGTCAAGAGTTGCAAGGTAATTCACTCCCGCTCTTTCACTCTCTCTCTCTCTCTCTCTCTCTCTCTCTCTCTCTCTCTCTCTCTCTCTCTCTCTCTCTCTCTCTCTCTCTCTCTCTCTCTCTCTCTTTCCTCCACCTCCCCCTCCCTCGCCCCCTTCCTCTCCCCCCGCAACACACACACCCCTTCCCTCCCCTCCCTCTCCCCCTCCCCCTCCACCTCCCTCTCCCTCCTCCTCCCCCTCCCTCGCCTCTCCCTCTCCATCTCCCTCGCCCCCTCCTTCTCCCCTCTCCTCCCTTCTCCCTTCTCCCCTCTCCTCCCCTCTCCCTTTTCCCCTCTCCCTCCCTCTTCCCTCCTTCCTCCTCTCCTCTCCCTCCCTCCTTCTCCCCTCTCCCTCCCTCTCCCCTATCCCTCCTCCTCTCCTCTCCCTCCCTTCTTCTCCCCTCTCCCTCCCTCCTTCTCCCCTCTCCCTCCCTCTTCCCTCCTTCCCTCCCTCCTTCTCCCCTCTCCCTCCCTCCTTCCCTCCTTCCCTCCCTCCTCCTCCCCTCTCCCTCCCTCCTTCTCCCCTCTCCCTCCCTCTTCCCTCCTTCCCTCCCTCCTCCTCTCCTCTCCCTCCCTCCTTCTCCCCTCTCCCTCCCTCTTCCCTCCTTCCCTCCCTCCTTCTCCCCTCTCCCTCCCTCCTTCCCTCCTTCCCTCCGTCCTCCTCTCCCTCCCTCCTTCTCCCCTCTCCCTCCCTCCTTCTCCCCTCTCCCTCCCTCTTCCCTCCTTCCCTCCCTCCTCCTCTCCTCTCCCTCCCTCCTTCTCCCCTCTCCCTCCCTCCTTCCCTCCTCCTCCTCCCTCTCCTCCCTCCTTCTCCCCTCCCTCCCTCCTTCCCTCCTCCTCCTCTCCTCTCCCTCCCTCCTTCTCCCTCTCCTCCCTCTTCCCTCCTTCCCTCCGTCCTCCTCTCCTCTCCCTCCCTCCTTCTCCCCTCTCCCTCCTTCCCTCCCTCCTCCTCTCCTCTCCCTCCCTCCTTCTCCCCTCTCCCTCCCTCTCCCCTATCCCTCCTTCTCTCCTCTCCCTCCCTCCTCCTCTCCTCTCCCTCCCTCCTTCTCCCCTCTCCCTCCCTCCTTCCCTCCCTCCTTCTCCCCTCTCCCTCCCTCCTTCTCCCCTCTCCCTCCCTCTTCCTCTCCCACTATGCATCGGAACCACATCAGATGTCAGTAGAAGATTGCCGGCTGAATCAACGCCTTATCAACACGTGTTGTCTCCCTCACATAGTGTTATCGTTTCCATAAAATGAAACCAATGAATGAATTAACTAATGAATAAATGAGTAGATAGATAAGGAGATAAATGAATAAATGGGTAAATCAATAGGAAGCTAAATAAATAAATGAGTAAATAGATGAGTAAATGGATAACTAAATAAGTGAGTAAATGGATAACTAAATAAGTGAGTAGACGAGAAAGAGATAATCAAACGAATAGGTGAGTGAATAAATAACTCAACAAATCAAACCAATTAATAATAAAGTCAATAAATAAACACACGAATAAATTCCTCCTCCTAATTCCTCTCCTCGCCCCGCCCCCCTCACCCCCCCCCAATTCACCCCGCCCCCCCATTCACCCTGCCCCCCCATTCACCCCGCCCACCTGGCCTCCTACCCCGCCCACCCACGGGAGTAAACGCCACCTGTTTAGCAACGCACGGGCGGGGCACACACGGTTACATTCTGACTTCTTCTTGAACAACAGGCCGGGAAGATAATGACGCCGCGACACCAGATAACGATAAGAGTTATCTCGGAACTTCGTCCTCCTCGTCGTGTTATCTCTATCGCCATCATCCTCTGCAAGTCAGCTGTGATGGGGGAGGGGGGGGAGGGGGGGAGAGAGAGGGAGAGAGAGGGAGAGAGAGAGAGAGAGAGGGAGAGAGGGAGAGAGAGAGGAACGGAGAGAGAGAGAGAGAGAGAGAGAGGGAGAGAGAGAGAGAGAGAGAGAGAGAGAGAGAGAGAGAGAGAGAGAAG